TTAAGTAAACGAGTGAATCACAGTGGAGTCTCAATCAGTTAACAGTGTAGATCCATTTTCTAAAAAACTGAATATTAAAAGAAAACCTCTGCTCTGAAAAAACAAAACAAAGGACACCCTCCAAAGAACTCAAACCAAGTGTGTGCTGTCACCGATTCTGTCTCCCTTGACTGACTAGGCTCCTCCTTCTCCACGTTGTAAGACATGTTTGCTGAAATCTTCACGCCCAGTTTCCAGGACACTTGCGTGAAGAGGCTATGCAACTGTAGCATCTAAGGGAACATAGCAGCGCCGTCTCTTCTCTAACAGACTTCATATCCAAAGAGAGCACTGAGTCTCACTCCTCTGCACTCGCCAGCATCTTATCAGGAGATAATATTTGCTGTGCAAATTGATGACAGCTGATCCTCCCCACCCCCTATCCCCACCAATATGAGGTTATCATCAGTTTGTCACTAGATACACTGGCCTTTCACTTTTTCAATCAGAAAAGTTGCGGCTTTCTTTAAAAAATGGGGGGTGGGGGGGGGAGAAATGAAAAACCAAGAGTCTAAAGGCACAAAGTCGCATAGCTGCTCTAGTTGGAGTTTGTAAACAGAGAATAGGTTGAATTTAGGTAATCCCAATCTACGAGAGTAAAAAGGCATCCACAGCAGGCTTTTATCCAGCCAGCTTCTTTAAGACCCTTCATGGGTTTTGAGGTCTACAAAGTATGCACTAAAATACCCATACTTCAAAAAGCAATAAGGCAAATAGTATAATCATTATTCCAAAAGTTACAATGGTAGTGTAGGCATACATAGTATAATTTAGTTACAATGTGTGGTACTGTTTCTATTATATAACCATATTAACTGTTTATTTCCTACATAATTATATATTCAGCTGGGTTTCAGTTGAATACAAAACCATCCTTGTACCACCACTGATAGTTGGCAATAGCTCTTTGATAGCACTTTTTATTCTGCTGTAGAAATTACCCTTGAACTGAAAAAAGTCCACAATCCAATGTCCAGTCATTAAACACTATCATATTTGTGAAGAGCTTCTTCCAACTTCTGGGTCACTTTTTGGAAAAAAATTATTTGCTGTTGTAAGAAATGCTGCATCTGTGATTTAAAGTCTCTTACTCGAATTTGATGGAAGTGGTGAATTTCGGCCAAAGTGGCAAAAGAAATAGTGTTACAGCGATCTTGAATGCCATCAGCCTTTTGGACCTCCATCTTCCCTTCTTCCACGTGTCGCCTACTCTCCTTTACTTTGGTAAGAGCTCCTGTAGTTAAAGATAATAATAATTAAAAATATATACACACATATCCCAATGACACAGATACATAATTAAAACAGAATCTTGGGCGTTATCAATACCCGCCTAAACTATTTTCAAGTCCTTTGGAATTTAAAGTGATGACTGTAATTACTCATAAAAAAAGAAGAAATTTAGTAAAGTTTTTGAAAACACTTCCACTGCTACAATTTAACTTTATCAAAAACTAGTGTTTGCCATCTTAACCAAGTATCTGCAGTATTTCTCTTCTCTTCCAAATAGACATGATATACATGACAGATAACAAACTGTAAGGAATTGTCCTTAAATAGACAAACCAACAATCTCTCCAGTTTTCACATGCTTAAAAGGTATGAGACCTATTTCTAAATTTTTTCAAATCTCCTGCAAAATAATATAAATACAGTATTAAATAAACCCTTTAAGATAAAATAGTGTGCTTTTTTTGCACAAAGACCTGAGAAATGGAAAAACTACCACAACAAATTTTATATGTACACACACACACACACACACACACACACGAATGAATTTGTAGGTAGGTACACACCCACACATCTATTTTCATTTATTTATTCTAAATGAGATTACTAAGTGAAAAGCAGCAGAACTCTGGAGCAGGGAAAACACACCGGTTCAGCAAAAGCACTGAGCATCCCCCACACACCACTTCCAGTTAACCCCCTGGCAGAGAGGTGCACTTTGCTGGACATGAGGAAGACCCCTGTCTCAATTCTACCTACTAAGAAGCCGTCGCTCGGAAAGTACAGCACTTTTAACATTTGTACTACGGCTATGACAGGACCAGTCATACCAAACACTAAAACTTGCCTGCTTGTAGTTCATATCAAAAAGAGAGAAAGACCCACACACAAAAAAAGTTTCTTGTAATACATTTACTTTCACTATATTTCTACATGTTTCACATTTTACATACAAAAAATTAAAGTTGAAAAGACCAGAAAAGTATAGGAGGTAAGTCTAAAAAAAATTTCAAAAAAACTAAGAATATAAAATCATGAAATACATGTTTTAAAGTGGT